AAAAATTTCGAGTATTGTACGCTAACCCTGCGCTTGATAGAAACTAGTATGTACAAGCTTGTCCGGTAATTTCTGACGAATCAATACAGCGAAGTATACAAATTCACGACGTAGTGTGGTGGCAACTGTCATAGCGCAAACTCCGCGCTAAATATCTGCCGCTGGTACCCTGACGTAGGAAATTACCGGACAAGCTTGTACATCGCAGCCACGCGCACTTAAATTTACAGTGCACATGCACGGCATTATTGTTCACATACAAGGCTTGCAACTAGTGTGGACTATATAGTGCAGGGCACAGCGCGAATCGGTTGAACATTTATTCGGCTATGCACTGCCGCATTCAAGCGAAAAGTTAGAGTACAATACTCTGTTAAAATAAAATAAAATACTCTGTATTTGACCGCATGAAAACAAAACAAATGAAAAGCGGCTTGTGGAATTTACTATTTAGGTGGTCCACCTATACGACCCTCGCCCATTGACTAAATCGTACCAGTTGTCCGTCTAGACGACTGCAAAATTTAAAAGTACCAAGCAATTTATTCTCTTATCTAATCCCTAATTTAGGTTTTCTCGGCAGTCATAAACTGAAACGCTGCGGTTTGCGCAACAGCGACATCTTTTCGAATGCGTTTCACAATACCCGCTGGATCCCGTTCGAACAATTTTAGTGACCCCACATTTGTCGATCGCAGCCTGCCAAGCATTTTTTGAAAGAGCTGCAACAGGCAGACAGTAATTTGAGGTTCTCCCTCTTACAAGGAGATTGCGAGATCTCGGCCCCGTACAAGCAAACCAAACAAAGCCAAAAAAGTGATAAAACAAGTGATAAAGGAATAAAGAAATTATTCAAAAAACTGCTTATCGTGAGACTCCAGGAAAACCATAAGTGAACCGCAACGCAATTAGAGATAAACCCAATTTAGCCCTCGGCATGGGAAGACTGAAACAGGTCTGTAGGCTAGGGTCATCAGTGAATTTTACAATAAACCAGAAAGTTGTACTAACCTGTCGGTTCTCGCCAGCCCAGGCTTTTTAGGCTCTGCTCAAATCTGAACATGTTTTTACTGTTTTTACTCTGAAGTATCACCGCAAGCACATGCTGACGTTTATCTGAGGTACGTAAATGTATGCTAAATTTTTAAGCAATTGAAAAGTGACTGAACTGGTGCATGCGTAAACTGCAAAACGCGTTCACAATTTAATTGTGCTTACCACTTCAATACGGAGGATGTCTTGGAAATTGCGTCGTACTACAATGCCCGATCATGACCAGACGAAATCGTATCCGTATGCCACACGGTCTACAATTCATACAACCAAGTTCTACGGATCAACCAAGTTGAATTGTCGATTCTCGCCAGGATGGCGCCCTGCGGCGGTTAGGAGCCGTGCGACTAAGGTGCGACGGGAAGTCACCGTAGGCACATAGAAACAAGCGTTTGTCCCGGCACTTTTTAAACACGAGCGCGTCGGCAAACTAATCCGGGTGTTAACTCGGCAGATACATGAAAATTAACAGCGAATTAATCTATACAAACGAAGCGACAAATGTGTGATAAAGATATTTACAGTATTCTTTAATCAGGCGCCAGTGCTGTGTCCACGATATTACACTATCGCCCATATTACAGCACACGAACAGAAACAGAGCGAATGCGTAGTTCTCCTGTTGGCGGACCTAAAATCCATGTTGTTAGTGACGTCGAAAGACACACTGCCAGTCTGCAAGCCCGGCGAGGATCATGAATAAGTCAACCGCCCTAACAAACTCGAAACCGAAGTACCTATATCGGCAATGTTACTTCCTGCAACACGTGTATGTGTATGTGCTTATTAGAGCATTTCTTTACAATCATCGATCTTAATAAGCTTGGCTGGCAACAAATGTTTCACACATTCTATATAACTGCAATTGAGAGAAACTGCAAACACAACCACTTTACACAGCAACACCTACAAACACAGGTGGACGAACAAAAGAAAAGATTTCAGGTAATACGCGATCAGTGGGACGACTGTGTGCACATCCATTCCCCATTACGGCGGCACCTACAACATTGTGCGGGATGACTCTACCTCCTTCTCCGGACTCTCTCTCAAGTCGCTTGGCGCTCCTGTGGAATGAAATTACTCTAGACAAGGAAGATTACGCCTCGCTCAACGTGTTTATGAGAGCGTTGGACACCGTCGACTGGAGCAAGCTGAACTTTGTTAAACTTTTTGCAGTACTAAGTTACTGAAAAACTGATTCGGTACGGTAGTTTCCAACAGGCTATGTATAGAATGATTAGCATATTTCTGTTAACCTTATTCTTAGTTTTGCTGTAATTTTGTTTTGTTATTGATACTTCCGTAAATCACTGGGCTAATTTTTGTAGTGTTAAGTTGTGTTACGAAATGTGTCACGTGCCTAGAGGGGACATCTGTCCCGCTGCATAAGACAATAAATCTAATCTCATTTCGTCTAGATTCACCGCTAGTGGTGCTGTTCCTGTTACCTCGTCGAATTTCTATGCTGATTCTGTGGACGCCAAAGGTCTGCTGCTCTTGGTTCGCCTGATTGCTGCTGGATAATCTTGCTTCGCACGTAAAGCAGCCGGGTGGCTTCTGGTCCGTATGTTCCGTAAGCCTCGAAGCCCAGGGGCGAGTACCAGCAATCCTGGGTGATGCTGCGGCATTTCTCGACCTTGCTCCGCTTGGCTAGCGCTGCTGCTGCTCCGGCTCGAGTGGTTGTTGTTGCGATGCACGACAAGGCCACGATGCTCCGGCAGGTTACTTTCCAGGCCAGCGCATGTTGTCTTTCCCACGGGAAATTATCACACTGTCTGGTCTTTGCCATCTGTGCGGGAGATTCCGTGGATTCCCGTTCAGTTTCGATTTCAGCTAAACAAAAGGCGCACTTTATGACTGCTTTGAGGCTTTCATGGGTCGGTTTCCACCCGGCATTGAACCTGCAGCTAGATCTATGATAGCCTTGGTCGCCGCAAACGCCCTGGTGCGGTGTGCATACCGGTGCACCAAGGCAGCCGTTACGGCGTACCGTATGTGAATCTTGACAAAAAGCTTTTTTTCGTATCAATAATGTACTTACGCGTATGTGCGCGCCAGCAATACATACAAATTGCGCTATCAATTGATGCAAGGCTTTATATGGATATCAGCAGCATATGCACTAATTAATTAATACATGACCTCTCTAAGATTAAAAAAAACCTTATGTGCGCCAATGATACTTTTGTTTTGGTGGTCATAACTTAGTTATCGAAATGTTCCATTCTTTGATAGGCGGCGTTTTTTTGTAGCCAATTTGTCTGTAAATAAATTACATTTATTTACAAAAAAAAATAAAAAAATAAGCTCGACTTATTCTCTTAAAATAAAGAAAGGATGTAGGAACTGAATAATGGTAGTACGAGTATGTTTACTGTAAACAAACAAACTCCATTTTCCCAATGCTGGTGCCGGGATTCCTGTTACACTTGTTTTCGAACACTTGACAACGCAAAGGACTTCTCAAGTTCTCGTTTTGACCAAGCAAATTCCCTCCCTCTTTTTGACCAATGAAAATCTCTCCCTTTCATTTTCCTTCCCTGTTTTCGACCCTGGCCTCGTGATATGGTGCGCCAAGATACTGCAGTACAAGAAACAGCCCTGCTTTTGCCTCCACGTTTCTTGTGGTCAACGGCCACTTTAGTTTTCAATGAATATTTATTAGAACAACATATTTCGTCGAAAAATAATCGGTACATCGTACTAAATGCAAAAAAACGGATTTTATGTGGAACACGGAATTTAATCTTATATAATTTTTTAATCAGTTCATGATTCTCTTAAATCACCATAAGTTCTCACAACTGAATTCATGATTCTGTGGACCTCAACCTGATGAATCTGGGGAGTGGAAGCTCGGTCATTTGTACATTTGATGGGATCTGTGCATTGAACGGTAGTGCCAGCTTGGTCTCCCGTTCACCAAAAGGTCTCCGTACAATGGACAGTACCGTCAGCTCGGCCACTCCTTCACCTGACGGCATTTGTGCAATGGACAGTACCGGTAGCTCAGTCACCAGCTAGCTTGTTTGCCTACCCGGCTACATTCGCTGGACAGTACCGGTTGCTCGGTCACACGCTCACGTAAAGGGCCCCATACACTGGACAGTGCCGGTACCTTGGTCACTGGTTCGCCTAAAGGGCCCCGGCCAGTGTTTTCTGGTTGGCCGGCTCTGGTGTATCCAATTCGTGGCAGTACAGATCAGAAATTAGGATATGTAGGTGTATGTGTACACAGCAGGCGTATTTTGTTAAGGAAATTTACTGGAAGGCCATCGATGGACCGACTTTGTTGTTTTTATTGTTTTGGTTATCAGCTGCGTTTTAAACATCACATGTAAAAACATTACAAAACATTATGGCCGACCGAACATGGAATCTCATGAATCTCATGATGTGATCGGTTTCTTCAGCATGCTTTCGCGGCCGGAGAGGCATCTTGACCGCCGGCGATTTCCCTCCTGACGGGGCGTATTGTGACTGTAATATCGTAGTAGCTGGCAGCTGCTCCATAATATGTCCGCTTTATTTAACTTTCCTAATTTACGGCGCTCCTGTAATTCAACAGCTTGTATTTGGCTGCTACCGGCTTCTGTGTTCTCTTAATTTAATTTGTGTTCTATTTACAGTTGTGTGCCGCCATTCAGTGCCACAGCAAACATAAGATTGCTTATAGGTATATGTCGTATGTTGCTGCAGGTAAAAAGGGTCAGTTCAATGTACAGACACAACTTGTCTGTTGTATGTGTACATGAAACTTACTTGTTAAGTACATAAGTCTGTTGTGAAGCTGGGGAGCCGGTGATTAGTGTACATGGCATCGTTGCGTGTATTGTATGCACACATACAAATACCCACTCCGTTGCTGACCATAAAAACTGAATCAACAATAGAACCGTCGCGTAATGCCGATCATATGTAGGTCGCGGTCTCACGCACACCGAGTACAGTCATCGTAGTACAGTATTCATCCGACGTTCACTGTACAAGCAGTTTCTTAGCGATTTCGTCCGCCGTGTGCCTGTGGTGAGACCATCTTTCCCAACCAGTCTTTTTCAGGAGCCACCAGAGAAGGCACAACATAGCCACATCCGGGTTGGGCAGTGGTCAGCGTGGCGGATTAGCGTCAGCGTTAATTGCCTAATCGGATTCCTGGGCTAATTTTTCATCCGCTGGAGTTAATGCAAGCAACGGCCATGTAGCCTAACCCTGTACAGGATCTCTGTTCGCCGTAATAATTGTATATATGTGTTTGTGCCATGCGGAGTTCGCTGGGTTTTGTTTGGATGTCGGGATTGTTTGTTTGACTAACATGTTCGTTATGGACTTTACTTACACAACGGTAAGCAAAAAATCTGAATCCTTTCTTCTAGCAGTGTTATCGGAATTTTCTAATATAGCGTTCTTAAATAAGCGGATGTTGCTAGACCATAATGATACATCATCTTAATGTTGATATCATTTTCTGTATTATCTGCTTAAGTACGGTAATGTATTGTACTGCGCGATCTGACGTTCAGTCAATGTTCATTTGTATAACTTAATAAAATCTCTGCGTAACTTTTCAAAAACTACTAAGGGATCATAAACTTCCAAAAACTTCTGCAAGCAAGAAACACGTATTTTCGAGATTTACGACTGTTGATGTTTGTCAGAAATTTGCATAGAGGTGTAAAAAACGGCGATAATTATTGATTTTTGTTAAAGTTAATAAAATCGTCAGCGCTGTAGTCATTCAAGTCAGCAAGCGAAAATGAGCCTTTGACAAATCATTTTGCGCAGTCGCATCCTGCTAACCCATTTCGGTGCTCCCAATATGCGAATACATCACCGCGCGCCGTTATTTTCCTTTTCATTAATTTATCGGCCATGATTTTGTTGATGAGTTTCACTTGAGATAGACAACTTTTCCCGGATGTTGGAATTGATTTATTCACTGAATAATTCTGCAAATTGTGCGACGAACTCCCGATTTGCCGATGCCCACGTGGCGCACTTAAAGATGTCTGCCGTTCGATGCATCATTGCAGTATTACGGTACTTCTGGATGTATCGGTGATTACCGGTCAAGGTGCACGGACGGTTCGGATTAGACCGATTAACCTAGCCTCTCCGCTGTCCGCATGCATAATTGATTAGCTAATCGTCAACAAATGCCGCAGTAACGCCACACTCGACGCGCCTTCCTCGTCCGATGCCGACAATCAAAATATGCAACCATTATTAATAGCATTTCCTCAATTCATCTTAAAACCCAAAATTTTTCGCTGTGCTTGCAAGCGTGAATTTCTAACTGATTTCTCTGAGAAAGTAATAACGGTAGAACGGTTTTGCAGCCTGTCATAATCAGAAAAAAACATACGGAAAAGATTCTTTAGGTGCTAGTAGTTCGTAGTTGTGGTTTACATATTTATCCAGGAGCCGTTTATTGTCATATTACAGCGATGACCGTATATTAACTAAAATTTATTTATCATGCTGGCGGATGTCTTAACGCTTTAACTTAACTTTTTAGTAACCCTAAAGCTATTTTGATACCAGCCAGATATATGTTTCAGCAGAAAACATTTGATTAAGCCTCCTTAAAGCGCTTTGCCCTATCTCTAGTAATCTGTTTTTGCAGGAAAAATTAAAAATTTCAAAAAAATATTTACTATGAAAAAGAGTATTCCTGCAATAAATCAATATTGTGCAATGACAAAATTGATGCTGCAGCTATGGCCGTCCATGTTTCGACAGAATGAAAAATGCCCGAAAATAATTTTGTACTTACTGGCAACAGCGGGAAATTAATTAGTCCGAAACCTGTTAAGTAAACAAATACCCACGTGTTGGCCCGGAAATTTTATCGTGATATAGACCAACATTGCGCCATAATTCTAACAGCTAATACTTTCAGTTTTAGTGGGCTCAGTTATGCATAATATTATGTTTTACTATTATTTTGCCGGTGTGCCTGGCACCACAGTTTTTCGAGTGATGCGGCGTACGCCGTGGTTATGCAACCGCGATGGCGCAATCGCCTCCATCCATCCATCAGTGAGCGACAGCCGCGCACATCCGCTTCGCCGTGCTGTGACCCCTTTCGGTGTATTCTGTCTGCTTTCTTCTCTCTGCAACTGCATTACCACGGCTGACCACTCACTGGTCGCTGCAGCCGGTGAGCTAACACTTGGTTGCCGTCTCGGTAAACTTTCTTTTTTTGCTTGATAAACTCCGCGGCTGGTAAATGCCGGTGCGGAGTAATAATATTAATAACCGAGCTGTTTATGTATTGCTGACGTCGATTGTATTCGGCTGCGTGGCCCAGGCGTGATAATCTGGGTCACTCAAATTACTGGTGCACTGTGTACCGTAGCAAGCAATACGGACAAAAACATTATACAGCATTCGTTTTTAATGGTTATTCAGTTTCACCTGTTGACCATTTGGCAACCGGCTCTGTAATTGGCATATTTCACTTTTGTACGTACGCACTTATTCGTGCTCATTTTCTGCCTCTCTTATACACGTGATATCAGTTTTCCAGAGGAAAAAAATCCCATGGTAACATTGCGTGGGAATATGAATCTGGCTTGCTTACGTACTGTATTCGCCAAACGAACTAAAATCAGTAAAAACTTGCTGCAATGTTGTGGAATTCTTTGAGACTACAGAAAATGATTCTGCTCTCAGTTAAAGGTTTTTGCTTGCTGGCGGGAAGTCAGCCGCGATAAAACATGCAATAAAAAGTCCCAAAAAAGACCCTGCGCGTCGCTATCTCTCCACAGTCGTTCGAATTATCCATAGTGAAAAAGAAATAAAAGCAGAATAATTCGGACAAAAATAAGCAAAAAAAAGATAATTATGAGTAAATGTATAAAACTACGCTGCCAACTTTACACATAAAAATGACATATTATTGACAACGTACTCCATATGAAAAGGATGAAGTAATAACGTAACGCGTTAAGGGTGATAAATTGTCATTAGGATGCTAATTCCTAATTTATTCTTTATTTTCACAGGTTAGACAAAAGACGACGTTCTTGCCGGTAGGTAGCGTTCGACGGGCACCGCTCAGCCGGACGATCCTGCACTTGATCTTCGTCGTCAGCACTGGCGGTTTTCTGCTACAACTAGCCCAGGCCGACATGCTGGGCCTGCCGTCCTCGGCCGGTTCGAACTATATCCCGCGCATCCGGCCGGACTTTGATCTCCACGACATTCCCTGCGATCTCAGCCGGCCGGACAAGCCCTGCACCCTGCCCGGCAAATCCTACCCCTGGTTCGCCATGAACAGCTACATCGAGGACAACAAGGCCATGCTCAAGCGCATGTACGGCGACACGTGCGAGCGTGATGCCGGCAAGCACGCGCGGCTGCGTGCGCAAGGCCCCATGAGCCGGCAGGGACGCGAGCAGGATAAGCCCGATGTCGGCTTCGTGTAGGTGCTTTCGTTTTTTTCCTTTCGACACATGGGTTCGCAATTTACAGTTAAATAAAGCATTGGAGATAAAGCATACAGCATTTGAGATATACAGTAAATAAAGCAATCGAGATAAGCATTTGTAATGAAAGCATTCACAAAAAAATGTTTAACGGTAGTATTTTTCCTTACAAGAAAACTAATAGCACGGCCCGTTTTGCACAAATCACTTAGAAGATTCTTGTCAGTTTGTAATGAGGGCATCCAGTCAAATAATTTTCCCCATAACAGGAGCTCTTACATAGTAAAAATAATAACTTTGTTTATATAGATATTAAATTCTTGAATATTTTTTCATTTAGCTGGAATGCGTGTAGCTAATTTTTTCTGCAACAGCAGTTTTATGTTGCAAATTACATATTTGTGATAAAATTCCGGTATTTTTTGTTATGAAAATTTGGGTTACAGGAACGCATGTCCGTCGGAGCAGTTTGTGGTGACGCCGTTCTGGGCGAACAACAGCGCCGGAACTACTCTGGCTATTGTTAATTTCCATCCCTTTGAACAAGCTGTGCAACAGGAAGTCTGCAAGTACGTACCATTCACGTTAATCCGACAACCTTATGGTTAGTACATCTTTATCAGTGTTCAAAAATATTTTCCAATAGCCTTAAAAGTCTCCCAAATGGAGTTTGGCTACTGTTGTTCGATAATAATATTAAATAATAGTGAGTAAACCTAACATGTTAGTACCTTGCCACCTACCGGCACTGTATTATTCAATTGTGTTCAATGGCACGCCGGTGGTAAAAACATGTTATAACGGCTTTTCCAAATGTATTTTATATTTTCCTTTCTTGGACCTTTTGGAATGCCATATATAGCGCAACCTGTCTGTTTATTGAATACTGTATGAGTTAGCGAAAATAAGCAAGCGACTGTTATGACAATTATTTTTCTTGTTTAGACCCGGCACTTCCGGGCGCTGCCGTGACGGTTGTCGGTGTGAGCAGAAATACTCGTGGTATCGGCTCCTCGCGTTTGACCCAAGGAACGAATGCCGCGGCATTTTTATGGTAATTCTTGAATTTTATTTCAGCACCGTTCCATGATTTAATTCCAGACAATACAGTATTTGATTTCCTGAATACATTTTTAAATAAAATGTTGAATTAATATTAATTTCATATTTATTCCTATATTATGTATGTTGTCTTCTGTATTATACTACATTCTTACTACTTTTTGATAACATTAGTTATTCCTTTTCAATAAAGTTTTCATAATGTTTATTTCCAGTAAACATGACACTATTAGCCGAACAAGAGTAGCATGTGATTTGCGATGATTTATTTATTTCCACTTAAATTAACCTGCCATTGCGAACAGGACTGGTTCCAGTTCCCATCGTGCTGCGCCTGCCACTGCTACGAAGTGGACCCCTCCAGCAAAGAGGAATCCCATTTAGACCTGCCCCTCCCCAAAATGGGCACCCTTACCAGCCCCGCCCCTTCAGCCACCACCGCTCTCTCTGCCTCCAACAACACCACGGAGGCGGACTTTGACTACGACAACGAGACGGACCCCACCACCACCCCACTGGCCACCGTCACCGCGACCACCACCCCCATCCCTAACACGGTGACGACCACCGCGACCCCCTCAACCGCAAAGGTAACAAGCATTCCCCCCACCACTAAAACCACCACCGACGCCGCACTAAATCTAACCCTGACCTCGCCAGCCCCGGTTTACGCTGCCGGCGTCCTCAAGTTCCCGTATCCGGGATACAACCGCACCGACTACATCGCCGCTCTGGGTAAACCGTACAGTTACAGCAACGCCACCCACTACCGACGGCGGGTGGCCGCCACTGTACCGCCGACTGCGGCCCCTGCTTCCCTTCCCCTGGCCACCGCGGATCCGGGTGGTCTGAGGAATTCCACGGCGGCGCCCCTGGCCTCGACTACCTCCGAGGGCGCCGACAACGCCATCGCGTCCGGCAGAGATACTTACCTGGAACTGTGGAAATCCGTCCACCCGGCGCTGCGCAAGAATCGTGTTCCTCGAATTTAATTTTTTCCCTTCGATTCTAATTTCAACGCGTTTCTTGTATAGTTATTTTGAATTTTCGACAGTTATTTTCACAGCTATTATTAATCAGCAAGTAAGTTTTTCTGGGATGGAGTAATCTGGTTTCAAATTTATTGTTTTTAATTAAGGGAGTTCTGTGGACATTTTACCTGTCTGTTTTCTGCGATTACACACAACGATACTGCAGCGGCGGAAAGGTCATTATCACATAACAACAGTATAAAAAATGGCCAGTGATACACCATAAATCGGAAAAAGGATATTTTATCGTCACAGTTTACTGAAACTGAATTATTCTTTTGCAACAAAAAGCTATGGCTCTGAAAAAAAGAACAAAAAGCAAAAATGGCAGTGTGGAAAAAATGGTGGCGAAATTTCTTGCTGTGGCTCTGCTGGAGAATAATATACTGTAATTTTATGTTTTTACTTGAAATTCTTCTAATATCTCTTAATGTGAACAGTGAACACCTGTTAATCTTTGTCTCGTTTTGCGGATCAAGATTTCGTCAACGCAGTTATCTGAAATTTTACCAACGTGCGCTTACAGTAGAAAACGCTGTCGCTACGCTGGAAAATGTTGTAAATTGGTGAAAAGCATGTGTTACAGGCAGAAATTTGGAAAAGCCTGCAATGAGCGACCAGCTGTACAACCAATCATTTATGGCTGTAAAACTGAACTTGAAAATGAATTTTTTCTGTTAAAGAAAGATTTAACGGATCGACCAATACCACGGATTTCTGGTTTCCGATTTTATCGCACTATGAGGGAGCTTATAGCGGTTGCTACAACTTTGTGGCTACGTGCTATCCCCTCCCCCGATGCACAAATGCTAGTCTGGCCGCATAAACTCGTCGCCAGCTTGCTACCCTTCTAGATGATAGCAAGAAAGTAGCCAGTTCACAGCGGCTTGCTACTAGTGTTGTGCTACTAAATAAAATTAAATAACGGCCTTTTACTTAGTAAAAGTCCGCCTAATATTAAAAGTCTAGTAAATAGTAAGGTTTTGGAAACAAAGTTAGTAAAAGTAAGTAAATGTGCTGCCGGAATAGTAAAAAGTAAGTAAATATTAAGGTTCAGTGTTGAATAAATAAAAATCAATTACTAAATTATTTACTAATTCTGTTTTATCAACGTTACGGAAAATTGGCGTGTCAGCCGCCGCCACTCGCAGGTAAAGTGGGTGTGCGCAGTAGTCGGCTGCCAGCCTGCCGTCCTCAAAAGCAGCAGTATTTACTTTTCAGTATGCACCTGTATAGCTCGATTAATGCATAAGAAATTTATCTGCATTATTTTCAGTAGTCTGTTGCGCTCTGAAACTAGCGAAATTCGAAACTGTCAATGCTAAATTACATTTATTTAGTAAATTTACTTTAATTTAGTAAGTAAATGTCCCTGCGAAAATTGAAATAAAAAGTAAAAGTAAGTAAAAGTCCCGAAAAAATTTTGAATAGTAAGTAAAAATAAGTAAACTTTCCAAAGCAGATAGTAAAAATAAGTATATTGGCAAGGACTTTTACTACCCAACACTACTTGCTACGACTAGACGGCACCCGCCCGGTGTGACCGTAGAAGGCAACCGCCCACAGTAACGGCAGGTAGCAACAGCAGTGCCCGCCCACCGCTACGGCAGCGGACAACCTCTTATGGTGGCGGGTTACTTGACTATGGCAAGCCGATATTAAGCTTATGGCAAGCCGACATTAGGTATATGGCAAGCCGACATTAAATACATTATGGCAAGCCGATATTAGGCGTACTCGTAATATTGCTATTTTCTGGAAATTATTTTAATCCGCTTTTAAGTTTTTAATTTATCGTACATGTGAAACATTTTTTATTTATTTGATTTGTTTCAAGATTTCATCTTCAAAATCTAAATTGAAATCTTTGAAAATTTAAAAAAAAATTTCAAGTTTAGTTGTAAGTCAAATTTTTAAAAAAAATTAAAGTTCCAATTTGAATTTGAATTTCAAAAAAAATACAGTTTAACTTTCAAATTTAATTTAAAAGTGAAAAAAATTGAATTTTAAATGTAAAAAGTTTCAATACATGATCGTGTCTGTTAATTCTAACTTGGTTTCAAACTTTTTAATGGTTATTGTGTACTGTATCGAATTTTTCCGCATTATCTGCGAAGTTGGTATATGGATTAGCAACCTCAAGAGGTTACTACATTGCTTAACCATTGTCCTTACGAGCTAGCAATCTAGTCACGACTACCAATAGCATCGTCTGTTTATGCAGACATTTGCGCTACGTAGTCGGTGCTACATAGCCAGCTACGTAGCAGTAGTCAGCCAGCATAAACTCATTTTGTGGAACTACTTGCTACCAAAACGGCTACGGGAGACCGCGCCTGCAAAAATGGTAGCAAGTAGCAAGTAGTCAGTTCCGATAAACTGCCTCTATGTCATCACGTCATTAAAATAACCCTCTAAAGGCTCATCGCATTTCACGCAGTTTCACGCAGTCCACGCAGTTTGACGTTTAACCGCTAACGGTCATCCTCGATTTGGAAGCAGTCGATAACTGGGTTCCGCAGTTCTTCAGAAGCTGCCAACGAAATACTCTAAGCGCCATCGCTATTTAACAATCGACGCCGACAATGGTGCAGGAGAACGTGGATGCGCTCTGGAACACGCAACACCGCAACACCGGTTCAAGGTTGCTGTCTTATTTAGCAGCTACCTAAGTTACAGTAGTTGCAATAAATACTGCAGACAATGGTTGTGCGGCATTGGGCCATAACAGGAATGCGGATTTTGTAAAATTATCGCAACCGATCTGCACCGCTGATCAAATTAACAGTCACATATCCGAAAGCGACACTTGAGGTTCTAGGCAACACGGATGTCGTGGATCCTTTTCATAACCGAAGGTGTTGTTCTGAAACAATCGACCGAATATCCGCAATCAAAAAATTTTTACTCAAAGTTTTTTTGCAAAAGTTCGCGAGTAAATTCACTGTTTCGGTAAACGTCCAGCAATCCAGTTTAACCGGTGTAGTGTTTTGAAATGACTGTCATTCCCTTGCTGCTGCTTGTGGTTTTTGAGGTTCGACTGCGGACTTTAAATTGTTGCGTGACGTGACTTCAACAGGTAAGTTGCGTGCCGGTGCAGTAGCTAATTTCTAACTTTGCTTACATCAAATGTACTAAAAATGTCGTTGTGGCAGGAGCGCTAATCCTACTCCAGTAAGCACTTGAATTCTCGGTTGAGCACGCATATTTCGTCGATCATTTGGCTGGAGATGGCGGTTACTGCGTATTTCTGACTTTATAAATCCGAATACTGACCGGTACTTCAAGTATCGGTGCGTTTGCATGTTTATAAATCGTCCGTAAGTCGGTTGAAAATTGCCGTGAAAAATAGTTTCTGTGTAGTCTAGCATATGCTAAAATGTTATGATTCGTGTAAAAAATAGTTGCATTTGTCAGATCGATTTTGACGCGCATGTTCATAATATGTACTTATTACCGTTACAGGTTAGCTGAATTGTCTACGCTTATACAGTCACTGATTGTGCTTGCGCTAGGGTGACCATAATTCAAAGTGGAAAAATGGATGAAAAGAAACAGAAGTTGATTTTCAAGTTACTGTACCGCGGCTGTACACGTCAGGAAATTGTCGAACGAGCCGACATTAACCACAGCGCACTGGGGCGGTTCCTTAAGAAAGAAGGGAGAGTGCATAAGAAGCGGCTAACCGATGAGCAGAAGCAAGACATCCTCTGCTTAGACCGTGGGAAACAGTGCACACGGTTGGAGATTGCCAAGCGGTTAAAAGTTGACTTGACTACCGTGTACAAGATACTGCGAGCTGCCGATTTGGCCAACGATGGATTAGATGCAGTCAGCGATGAGCAAAGGAAGCTGATCCTGGAGCTGTTCGAGCAAGGATGTACGCGAACGGAGATTATACGCAAGGTCAAGCTGAATGACAACGTCGTGGAATGTGTGATACAGCAGGCCGGCAGAAGTTTCGCTAAGCGGGATAGTCTGCCTCTCAGCAAGAAACAAATGGTGAAGATTCTGAAGTTGTTCGAGCAGGGCCACAGTGGCGCCGGTATAATGCGCCAGTTCACCCTGAACCGGTACCAATTTCAGACGCTATTGCGACAGAACGGGAAGACCTTTCGCGAGCGCGGCCAGTACAAATACCGGCACCTACACGAAACTGTGTTGAGACTCCGAGAAGGTGGTTGTACGTATGCTGAGATAAAGAAACAAACCGAAGCCGGTGCTTGGGTTGTGGAAAAGATACTGAAGGAGGCCAGTCAAGATGCGGAGTTGTGGCAGGTGCGCAGTCTGAACGACGATGGATCGCAGCTCCAGATGACGTCTCCACCAAAGCCCAGTCGTCGTTCCACATCCCGACGCCGACGCTCATCAGGATCCGCAAGTGACTGGCCGATTTCGAATTTACAGGATGAGAACACGGTGGGTTCACTGACGAACGAGAACACTGCAGCAACACTCCCAGATTCTCAAAAAATCATCGACATTAGCGCCGAGAATAGCAACAGCGGTAAGTCGTTATTTTGTTGGGAAGCGCTTCAATGACGAGAGGGCAAGCGCAGCTCTTGCCCTTTTTGAAAAATATGAGTTCGGCATTATGAGGAGTTAGTGATTTATTACCGCCCAACTGATTTGAGCTTAGAGGCTAGATTTTGCTGACATCCAATCGTTAATGAAATACGAAAACAAATTTGTTGAAAGCATATCCGAACAATATTATAAATACCCACATGAACTCTAGAGTCGTGAAAGATCAGCAGAAACCATCAATGGTCAATATCTTGTGTGACAAGATTTTAGTGCCAACAGTTGCAATTAAACTTGTCTGTACATTTGCTTTACTGGCTATTTTGATACATATTTTTCAAATAGGTAATTAAATGTTTCCTACTTTTATAAATAGTTTTCTATATAGTTTCCTAAATATTTTATGTGTCAAAGCTTGCCGTCGTGTACGCATTTGTGCAGAACCCGTCGGGAAAGAGTTTCGATGATGTTTTGTTAGGCAAAATTTAGATTTAGATGTTAGGCAAAATTTAGATTTAGATAACACTTGACAGTTAGTTTATAATTATCGTAAAATGTTACGGTAAGTGAATAAATTTACGTGCAACAAATTATTATCAATTAAGAATATTGGTGCTGCTGCTTTTTCTGCAGAGTAATAACTGTAGAGTTACTAACAACTTAGAGTTCGTTGCAATTCTTCATCGGA